ACTAAACACCTCCCTGCTGCTAGAGAGTGGACAACTTCAAAATTTCAGAAATTTGGGTAAATGGGCGTGGTCAGGGTGCCAACTGCCACTCCACTTTTATTTACCCTCATTTTATTTTATTATCATGTTCTAGTAATTAGTCAGGATGGAATGGAGTGACGCCCCCCACTAGCAGAATGGCAGTTGTAACAGACGTGCTCGCTAGAAGTCTACCTTTGCTCACCTTACTTCTCCTTATGCCGATGTCTTCGACTCTAAACATTTCAAGTTGGAACCTCAATGGTATTAAAGGTAACATTCTTAGAAGAGAACATTTAGTAAGTGACGCTAAACGTTATCATTTAGATGTAGTGTGTCTCCAAGAGACAAAATGCCGAGACTTCGAGGAAACAATTATTGACGGTCACAAACTTGTAACACTAGCCCAATCAGACAACTGGTATCATTATGGTCTCGGTTTTCTAATCTGCCCAGTCCTTGTACCTTCTATTGTTGCATGGAGACCACTTAGTAACATTCATTGATATAAGACTCACAGAACCCAACGGATCTCATCGTATGATCAGGATCGTTAACGTGTACGGACCAACCAAGAAGATTGTCGATGATGACATCAGTAAGGTCACAGGTAACTCCCCATTGTTACAATCATATTTCAATGATCTGAAAACTGCTATCAATATCCCAGCTCGATACGATTTGTTTGTTGCAGGAGATTTTAACGCCCGACTTGGGAGATGCAGTAGGAAAGAGTATGATGCTGGCCTTAATAATCATATTGGTCAGTTCGGTAATGGTCTGAGAAACAGGAACGGTGAGTTTCTACTGGACTTTATTGTTGATAATGGTCTGTTTGCGTGCAATACTGCGTTCCAACACAGAGCGAAGTATATTACCACCTGGAAGGCTAGATGTGTTCCCAAGGGCAGACCCAAGGGTTCAAAAGACACTGTGAACTATTTTAAACAAATTGATTATATTTTATGTCGTACTAACTTTAAAGTCTGTTTAACAGACTCCCGCTCTTTTTGCGGTGATTTTGTAAAATCTGACCATAAACCTGTGGTCGCACGTTTTAAACTTGGTTGTGAAATTGAATACATTGTACATAAGCAGCCCAGGTCTGACAAAATAAGGTTTGATGTCAATCGCCTTAATGATTCTGATATTAAGTCTAAATTTTTTGATTCTTTTAAAAGTAATATTGATTGTATAGTTTTAACTAATAATGCTATATTTCTGAAAATTCTGATATTTTTGGTATATTGAGTGAATGTGCCGTCCAGGTGGTTGGTAAAGTGCCCCCGGCGAAGCCTCATCAGTACAGCGACGATCCAACTGTCGTTAAACTTTCAGCAGAGAGAAAGTCCCTTCAGCAAGAATGTAGCCTCACAGGGATAAGTGACAGGAGTGACCTCAGAAAAAGAATCAACCATCTCAAACGTACCATCAAAAAGAGGTTGAAATCTATCAACGAGGCCACTGCTTACGCCCTAGTAGATGTCATCAACAACACCGACAGCTGCAGAAGCATGTTTGAAGCGAATAGAACTTTGGCCCAGTGTAGGATGAAGAAAGATGGAGTGACTGTCCACGATGCAGACGGCAACACCTTAGGTTCTGACTCATTAAAAGCAGAAGTTATTAAAGAATACTTTAATAATGAGTTCAATGACAAAGATGAACCCCACCTCTCAGCATTCATAGACCCTCCTGGAAGCCTCCTCTGTCCCATAACACCTGAAGAAGTTGGCCGTGCTGTTATGAAGCTGAAATCCGGTAGAGCGTGTGGCCCTGACGGTATACCTAATGAGCTAATGAAAGCTGCTGGATATCCCCTCCACTGTGAGTTGGCTAGGATCTACAATCTCTCCTTTGAGACCAACACATACATCCCAGCTATTGGAGAAGGTATCCTGACACCCCTTCAGAAGCCAGGAAAACCCCGAGGTCCGGTAAAGTCTATCCGGCCCCTCACATTGCTAAATGGAACTAGAAAAGTCCTATCCCTCGTAGCCTTAAACAGAATCAATTACCACGTTGATATGTACACTGGACCTTGGCAGGCGGCATACAAGCAGGGTCGCAGTTGTGCTTACCTGAGGACCCCAGGCTATTATGTTCATTAACATATAGAATATAGATTTGGCGGAATGACAGGCTGAGCGCGGCCCAGTAAAGTTGTGCTGACCTGGTTTGGTCTCAGAGAATGTTGACATCAGTGGTTACCAGGCGCGAGTTTGAGTATAGTAAAATCAACATTGACATGACCGCTGCGTTTAATACCATCCGCAGACAGACCATCATCAACCTCCTCATTGATGCAGGATGCTCTAGAGACGACATTCGCCTGGTTCAGTACCTCCTCTCAAATACAAAGCTCAAGGTGACGGTCAACAGAGCTGAGTCTGGTAAATTCGTGATTAATATTGGAGCTTACCAGGGAGACAGTCTGGCAGGTAAAGTGTTTACATTGACCCTTGCCGGTGCCCTGAATCACATCAGAGCCGTGATCAGTGTCACAATTCCTAGACCGAACCCCCCAGTCTCTGATAGAGGCCTCCCGTTAGAGTCCGCCTATGCTGACGATGCTGAGCTTCTGAGTGAAGATGGTCAGAGTCTGGTGAAGATACTAGAGATTGCCAGTGACATACTAAAGGACTGGAGTCTCTTTGTTAACGAATCAAAGACGGTGTTTACAAGAGTGTATTTGGCAGAGACATATGCTTTAGATGCCCATGGCAATAAAATCAGAGGAAATGAAGAGTGGCGAGAGTCAGTACTATTAGGATCAAAGCTCTGTTCAGAAAGGGATATTGTCAACAGACGCAACAAAGCCAATGTTGCCTTCTACACCTACAAGAAAGTCTGGTTGAATAGTTCTGTTCAGATCAGTGAGAGTAGAAAGCTGAAGTTGTACGAAGCTCTTGTCACTTCAGTGTTGTTGTATAACTGTAGCAGCTGGGCTGCTCCTGAAACCGTAATGGCATCTGTCGACGTTCTTCAAAGGAAGCATCTGAGACAGATCATCAACATCTATTGGCCTACGGTGATCAGTAACGAGAACTTATATAAGAGATGTAATGTCAGTCCCCTTACTGAAAGGATCAAGAAAGCACGATGGAAGATGCTTGGGCACGTTCTCAGAAGCGGTGATGACACTCCCGCTTTCTTATCTTTTAGATTTGCATGTTTAGGATGTCTTGACTACAAAGGAAGGAGGGGCAGACCTCGTTCAAATTTATTTGATTTATTATTAAAAGACATTATGACGAAGAATATTATTGTGATTGTAAATAAAAGATTTAGTTTAAGTAATTTCAACGATTTAGTGTACAAAGCTCATGATAGACGTTTATGGAGAAGCTATGGGTGAGTCGAGACTACTCGGCCACTCGATTTTATGATTTATTTCCTATTATCTTGTGTTTGCTGTATATAGTTGATTAATAAGTAATACCGATGGCATCATAACAAGCCATTTAGAGATCCCCATTTAATATTATATCAAATTTTTCCCACGCTTTTAAAAAGGGTGTGGTCACGGGTTTAAACACACTTACAAAATTATTCACCCAATTTATTTTTGAAGTAGAGACCTTAGGGAGCACAAATAACATCTCAAACCTTCTAAACTCGCTGAGTTGTGCCAGGTTTTGACCAGATACTTTATTAAGCCTTAACACTTAACGATTCCCAATTCCCATAATGTTCAACGGGGTAGTTAACGGGGTCACCTTATCACGTGATTAGGGAAGCCAATCACCTGATCACATGTAATGAATAAACTCGTTGTGCTTCGTATCTCGGTCATCTGAGAAGCAATTACTCTAATTTTTTCAGGACAAACGTAATTCGAATGGCCAAACACAATTTAGCTCGATCCGATTATCCAAACTAAATAAATGCTAAAATGAACCTTTATTCGAAAAAAATGAGATGACAAATTCCTCGAACTAGTGGTGGTAGTAAAAGGCTATAAAGGCCAACGTATGGGTATTGACTTTTTTGCCCACCCTGTAGTTCAGGAAGGATAATTCATATTTCAAAAGGAATGTTGAATATTTGATAGTTCAAAAAGAATATTTGTATTTTTGACTCGTTTGGCTGATGATTTCGCACATTATATATATTATAAAAAATATATATTTTTCCCTTCAAATTGACACATGAATATTATAAACATCCAATTCTCTGAGCTTATTTTTACCTAAACTTGATAATATGGTTGTTGCGCTAATTTTTTAGATTTGGTTATCGTAAAATGTTGATTAATGATGTCATAAACGAAGTCAAAAGTGAAATTATATGGAAACAATTGCTTAGACAAAATTCACTATTAAGTGGAACAACATCATAATAAATAATAATAATAATAACGCTTTATTTGTATACCGCTTAGGCCGTATAAGCGACCAAAGTCCAAAAAATGGAGTTGATACTGGCCAACAAAGCGGTGCAGATAAATTTACCTTAGTAGTCCCTTTTCTAATCAAAAATTCAAATTTATAAATTGTAGATTGATCTTAAAGTCCTGCGTCCATAACTACTGAATCACCAAAAATACTGTTCGCACATACAGGATAGGCTTGATGAAATAGATGGGTCTTGAGAGCCTTCTTGAAAACATCCAGTCGAGAGATGGAGCGTAGTGAGTAGGGAAGTGTATTCCAGATTTTAGGAGCAGTGTGAGAGAAAGCACCAGCTGTAGCCCTCAGCCGTGATAAAGGAGGGCGTTCCAGTAGGAAGAAGTCATGGTCCATTCTGACATGATGTTTACTAGTGTCCCTAATGTTAACATTAACTATAAATTTATGAATCGTTTGACATTCGCAGATGGGTGAACGTACGCTGTACGTCGTGCAGAAAGATCCAAAAGTCAGGCCTAAACTTATTTTCTAAATGATTCCTAAACGGTTTAAGGTAATTCATTTCTGTAAACATTGTTTTGAAGTAGAAGTGTTTAATGGTGGATTTTCAAGACAATTAAATCAAAATGATTAGACAAATTCAATAAATATCTGATCATATTATGTACATCGTGATATAAATAACCATCAACAAAATCTTTTCACGATCCAGAAAGAGGATCATTCTCAACAGCAATACTGTTGCGTGGAATAAAACACCGAAGGGGGGGGGGGGGGAGGTCCCCCCTCCCCCCCTCCCCCCCCCCCCCCCGTAGCTGACTACGAAGAGAAAACGAAAGTTCATTTCAAAACATACCATCCTTTTTCTCAATCGAGACCGCTCAAGAAAATTTTGGGAGTGCCTCAATCTCAGTTTAGTCCGGGGTTACTCCTTCTACTAAATCATCTCTCTGTCGCCTCTACAAATTCGTCCATTTATAAACAAACTCTAAATTACTTGTCTTTAAATTCTCTTTCGGCTAAAAGCCCGCATCTCCAAAGCCAACTTCCTTCTGAATCGACTTGATTTCTCCTAGGAGATCGACATCTTTTAGTCCTACTCTTAGCGCGTACTTGTATGACTGTTCCGCTTCTAGTTTCCTGAAAAGTCGTCTATCAGTGAAGTGCAATGATTTAATCTGATAACTGATTCTTCAGCGCTGACTCTTTTAAAGTTAAACGCAAGAAGAAATGATATATTTCACAGAAAAATAATCAGCCAAAGCAATACTGAAATACCGCATTATAAATACCTGCTAGTTTTAAGACACACAAGAGATAAATAGCCCCAAACTTCCGGATCAGTATTGTTGAGAATGTTAGCTTCCGAGAGGGCTTGTTCAGCTTCACTTAGTTCACCAAGTCTGTAACAGGAGATTCCGACTCCTGCAATTAATTTTATTTAATTTACTTTCAGTTATATTATAATTACAGGGTGGTATACACCACATTTAGCAAAGTCTCCCCTGTGCACACAGGGGTGCTAACCTGGCTTTCTACTAACAATATTCCAAACATTTTTCATGTAAGCTTCAAAATAAGACCAGGTTTGTGGATATATATTCTCGGTTAACTCAGAGATTTTGAGATTCACATCTTCAAACTTTGGTAACGTCAACATTAAGTCCTGTGACATCACCAAACTATCGAAAGACGTCATCACACTCTCACTATACTATCACATGACGTCACTATACTATCACATGACGTCACTATACTATAACGTGACGTCACTATACTATCACATGACGTCACTATACTATCACGTGACGTCACTATACTATCACGTGACGTCACTATACTATCACATGACGTCACTATACTATCACGTGACGTCACTATACTATAACGTGACGTCACTATACTATCACATGACGTCACTATACTATCACGTGACGTCACTATACTATCACGTGACGTCACTATACTATCACGTGACTTCATCTCATTCCTTACCTAACCAGGTGATGCAGCTAGGAGAGTCCCTACACGCTAACAAGAACATCTGTTTAGCAGCACCGTACTGCTGTAACTGCAGATAGATGCTGGCCAGTCTGAGACGTATAGAGTGTGTGTCCGGAGCAGGAGTCTCGTAAGATAGTGTACGTTCGTAGTTGTCTCGGGCTCCTTTTGATTCTCCGCCTGAGGGACCGTTTAAATATTGTCACATGACATGACATCACAAATAATGTTCTACAAACAATCGTCAGATATTCGCTTATTTAAGCTCAATGACCAAGGTGAGCTTCTAACATTTAAACATAATAAGTATCTCCTTCTCGCATAGATAGATAATATGTAAAGCCCACTTACTAAGATAGAGAATATGTCCAAGTAAAGCCCACTTACTAAGATAGAGATAATGTCCAAGTAAAGCCCACTTACTAAGATAGAGAATATGTCCAAGTAAAGCCCACTTACCAAGATAGAGAATATGTCCAAGTAAAGCCCACTTACCAAGATAGAGAATATGTCCAAGTAAAGCCCACTTACCAAGATAGAGAATATGTCCAAGTAAAGCCCACTTACCAAGATAGAGAATATGTCCAAGTAAAGCCCAACCAGCAGGATTGGTATGGTTCAGAACAGTGGCCTGTTTAACATAACTCTCAGCTTCGGTCAGCTCTCCTTTAGCCATGTGTAGTTTAGCGAGGAGGAGGTAGTATTCCTGATTCAGAGTTTTGGGAGAGGAAAGAAGTTCGTGTGATAGCGCACTTTCTACCTGAGGAGGAAAAACCGTGACGTCATCGTGACAATAACGTGACATCATCATGACAATAACGTGACGTCATCGTGACAATAACGTGACGTCATCATGACAATAACGTGACGTCATCACGACAATAACGTGACGTCATCACGACAATAGCGTGATAGTGCACTTTCTACCTGAGGAGGAAAACACGTGACCTTATCAAAAGCAAGTCAATAAATAAAAAATTGGTCTGCAATTCATATGGTTGACTCGACACTTTCCGTCTGTAAAACTGGCGGTTTTTCTCTACATATACCTCCCTCGACACAATTTACCGACATCAACCTAAAATAATGTTTCCAGCCTAACGTGACGTCATCATTTCCAAATTTCAATACTCACCAGACTGTAAGCGTGCAGTTCTAACAAAGTAGCCGCGCTGGCGAGGAAGATAGAACTGTCGTCTCTGTTGAAGTGCTTGTTCGCCTCCAAAAACGCCATCTCAGCTCCTGATGAAGAGTTTCCTGGTTTAGTTACCATGTTTATCATGACAACCACGTGATACCACGCGATACCACGTGATACCACGTGGTAACTGTAATTCATAAGATTTGTCTCATATCATTTAATTGAAAAGAGAGACAAACAATGTCGAATAGTCCTAAGATTTTCATGTAAACAGAAAATACATATTTGAATTGTATTTATTAACCGATATCATTGTCACGTGTATCGTAGAAAAGTCCTAACACCGTCCAGGCCAGGCAATTGTCGGGCTGAACGCACGTGGAGTCTTCAAAGAACGTTTCTGAGGGAGTTGCGGGTATGATAATTCTATAATTACTACTCATGTGACGTTATTAAACTCACGTGACGTTATCAAACTCACGTGACGTTATCAAACTCACGTGACATTATTAACGTGACGTCATTAAAATTACGTGCCGTAATTAAAATTATATACCTGCTACATCATATCGTTCCTCCATAACGCAGACGATACCGTACATCAGCAGTGCAAGAATGTAGTTCTGGTCCAGTCCCAAACACTCTCTGTAGTATTATCAATTCAGTTAATTGATTCAGTTTAATATGATTGAAACCACCTACCAATTTTAAACGGTAAATAAATTCTAAATACTATGATACTTTTCCCTGTACTGGTGTGGTACTTGGTCCACTTTGGATTAATACAAATTGTATTCTAAACCAAATATTTCCCAAGTTTCAAATCAACAACTGAGGAATTTATTCCTAACAATTTATAAAAGTAAAACTATTGTGAGATATAAAACCTGAAGCACTCCCCAGCTTTGGAAACATTCCCCACGAGAAGAGAGAAACAGCCGTAATCAAACCAAGACGAGCTACTGTTCTGATCCATTGCTAACCTCTCCTAATTATTTAATTAATTAATTAATTAATTAATATTATTATTATCTCCTGGGGAAAGACTTCCATAAGGGAGATGGTGATACTTCTAGTGAACTATTGTAATGAGATAATGAGACGAAAAGTTAAGTTCTCAGTCACAAGATATCGATCGTTATAAATTAATAATAAATTAATTATTATATAAAGTCAATAAACTCTTACTACAATTAAGTGAACAATAAAGTGAACAATAAAGTGAACAATATAAGGTCATTAACTTAGAGTTTCCAACCATAAAATAACAGTATTACTCTAAATAAAGTTAATACCTTACTCGGGATTATTATGACCGGGATAAAGTGGTGGGTTTAGGGTAATTTCGCCATATTTTTCCCGAACCACATTTTCACCGGTCGTTAATAAACCCGCCTACTCAGCTTTTAGGGTTCCCAAGGGGTATGGGTGCTCATATTTTAATCGTTGTCTTATATTCACTAAAGAAGACTATTGGGACACTTGTTGTAGGTTTTTCGACTTCATTTGGCTAAAATTGCAAAAAATTCACCTTTTTGCCCAATTCTTGTCATATATCCTTATTGTCAAATTTGATTTAAATAGGCCAATTTTTAATTTCTTAGGTATTGACTATCTCTTCATAATGAAATAGGACTCAAAGTAAAAGTAACAGTTAAATTAAAACTTGAATTAATTAAAACTGATGAAAGGGATGATCCAGATGAAGATAACGAAGATGATTACAACTTATTGGAAGACTAAACAGCTCTCCCTTTATCTTAATATCGATCTGGTTGTTACGCTTCAAATGTTAAAAATTATTTTCCATCTAGTTTGATTAACCACGAGTCATTATTTCTGTCTACTTTCAACAATTTTTGATAATTCGACTTGTTTCACAAGTTTTAGCAATGCGAAAATTTCTAAACTTGCTTATCTCTAATAAGGAAATTTACATCTGAGACAAAATTTTTGAATCTAAAATTGAAAGGTTGGACACCGGTAAAATGGCGACCGGGAAAATGTGGTGGGTTTTGAGCAATTTCGCCATATTTTTCCCGAACCATATTTTAACCGGTCGTTAATAAACCCGTCGTAATAATCCCGAGTAAGGTAGCTACAACCTAAAATAACAGTATTAATCTAAATAAAGTTAATGACTAAAATAAAACGTTATTAACCTGATAGTAACGAGCAGCCAGTTCGTAGTTCTGGTTAAGTTCCGCCTCTTTAGCAAAGTGAACAAGAGAGTTCTGGTCAAGGGGTGAGGGGAGTGGGGCGGCGTTGTTCTGGAGAGAAAACACCTGGGATACACCCTTGTGCATCTGTTCGATCAAGAATACGTACCTAAAGAAGTAAATATAGTGTTACTAGATAAGTTACAAGGTAAAAATGGACATTTTCTTTTTCGATGATCATCCAAGATGTCATCATTACGTCAGCATGAGGTCATCATGACAATTACGTCACGCCATCATGACGGTAACTTCACGTCATCATCACAATAACGTCACGTCATCATCACAATAACGTCACGTCATCATAACAATAACGTGACGTCATCATAACAATAGCGTGACGTCATCATAACAATAACGTCACGTCATCATAACAATAACGTGACGTCATCATAACAATAACGTGACGTCATCATAACAATAACGTGACGTCATCATAACAATAACGTGACGTCATCATAACAATAACGTGACGTCATCATAACAATAACGTCACGTCATCATAACAGTAATGTGACGTCATCATAACAATAACGTGACGTCATCATAACAATAACGTGACGTCATCATAACAATAACGTGACGTCATCATAACAGTAAACAGTAATGTGACCACTCACAGTTCACTGAGGAACTGATGCAGTTCTTCCTCTTTCTGAAAAGCTGATGTTTTGAAAAACTTCTCTCTTACAACTTTAACCACGCTCTGCTTCAGTTGTTCCTGAAAAAAAACGGTTTACAATTGCAATAATTATAAAATATACGTATTAAACAAATATATCGAATAAGCCATGAACTGTATCACATTTACTTTCTCTTAATTCTTGTTATCTAGAGGTGATTATCCTGGCTGCAGAATCATTAAATAAATGGAATATTCCACTAATTTTAACTTTTTAATTATTCTGGGATGAAGAAATTAATTCAATAAAAACACGTGCTGTTAGAAATTGAGAAAAAATCAGATAAGAAGATGCCAAATCCTTATCTATCACAGACAATATGTATATTACAATAATGAACAAATTATCTAGACGGAAACTGTTTAATTAGATCTCGGAAAGTCTGTGAGATGAATTTCTGCTGTGTGATAAAGAACATGCTCCCTTACTGTTACCAATAATCTCAATTCTTGAGTTCGTGTCAACATAAATTTGTCTGCTGCTGATAAATTTGTAGAGCTTTAGATTTGGAACCAAGTTACTTAAATTGGTCATAAACTTATCCGTATTCTGCAACCATTTAATCTATTTGGTATTTACTCATCGCATGATCTGTCCAAGTTTATACTTTAAGCACGATTACAATCCTCGTTGTAGTTATCGTTATACCCTTTATTAGCGCTGATATTCCTCAAAGTAACACGAGCCCCGTAAGAAGCAGAAATGATCACACAGCTGATGTTGATGACGGTAGTAGCTACCACTTGTAGTACCGCTTTGGTGTCACCTTTCGACAAGGGAGTTATAGGCAAAGTTTCCAAACAGTTCTTACAGGACTTTGCGGACGAGGTGGCCGACCTAACATCTACTCTATTGAAGGTAGGGCTGGGACTCGGGAGGGGGGGGTGCTTTGGCTAGAATTAAAGTCGAAATTACATCTGATATATTCGAAATATTATACAAATTCATGTCAGTCTTAGGAAATTATGTGATCATAATGTCATGATCAGGTGATTTTAATGTTTGATAACCCCACCAGGAAACATCATTCAGTGGAAGTGACAGTGGAAGTGACTACTCGTTCAACTACTGGGGAGTTAGAGTAACCTCCCTGTCTCTCAACCCCTCCATCACCCTCCGTAATGATGGGAGTCCCCGGAGTGGAACAGGTCAACTTGTAGTGGACGGGAGTATTGGAGGGACTATAAGAGCCTCAGGGAGCTGGAGGTACAACAAGAAGTCCTGGTGGTACTCCGTGACACTTGATGGAGGAGTTCACGTTAGCTCAAACGGGTTTAGTATCTCAAACAGGGTCTATCTTGGGGAAAAGTCGAACGGAAAAGTTGGGTTCTCACATGACTCGGGTTCTTGTAGGTCGAGTATGGGATCTCTCAACATTGACATTACAGGTTCCTGGTATAGCTGGATCCTTAACATTATTGTATGGATCTTTGAAGATGATCTGAGGGGAGCATTGGAGGAAGTTGCTTGCGAGAAAGCGAATGAAGTGGTGGGCGAAGCTGCAGTTAACTTCGAAAATGCAATGTTCAACCAGGACTTTTCTATGCCATTGAAATCAGGAGGAGAACTGAAAGTGGACTTTAACCCATCAGTAATAACAGGGGGACCTAGCTGTGCTGTTATCTCTACACCCGCAGTTATAGAACTGACAGGAGTACCAAACCCCCCGCAAATAGTCACACCTCCCTTTATCCACCTCCCTGCCACCGAGGAACCAGCTAGAAAGAAAAGACAGGCTAGAGACTGGTGTGGAGTGGTTCCAGGTCCTAACAGTGGGGTCTCCATCATCCTCACGGAGGACCTCGTCTCTAGAGGTATCCAGAACCTACACCACTTCGACTTACTCAAGTTTTCCTTGGTAGAGACAGGCACTGAGGGGAGCAGAACAACTTTCGATGTGTCCCGCAATGGCCAGCGTATAAATACAGTGAGTGTAGAGTTCCCTGAGGACGAGGGACGGACCCTGGCTGGATTTAGCAGGAAGACCGTGAAGATCAGCAGCACTGAACTCCCGGAAGTAAGCATCACCGACAACGGTATCTCCGTATTGGTTCACCTCAGAGCACGGGTCACTCTGAGCAGTGATAACCCAAAACTTGAGATTAGAACGGAGTTCGAGTCCCTGACTAATTGGATAGGAACAGTGAGGATGGTAAAGAAGGACGGGGGATACTCGCTAGTCCCCCACGTGACAGCAAATGTAGATATATGGACTGGGAAACTCTACATTGGAGCGGAGAGGGACGGAATGAGAAAGTCCGGCCAAAGGAGACTGGAGGAGGATAACTTGATACTGGAGGGGATCGAGAGGCTGCTCAACTCGGTGCTGGAGGAGAACCTGGCGAGGGTGCTGGAGGACGATTTGCAGAGTGGGATCCCTCTAAACATCCCTGAGGAGTATATGACAGTGGGGAGGGCGGATATCAGTTACAGGGAGGATTATATCATCGTATCTGCTGATGATATCACTATCAACCTTCAGTAGAAAACGGGACGCAAGAAAATGGAGATTACTGGTTTGAGGACTTATGAACTGATCAGTTAGGGTCCGATATCAAACATTACAGTTATCCGGACATAACTGAACTAAGTGATTTTTCTAGAGTACTACTTAGTAGAATTAGAATGAATTCAAATATAATGATTCCTCATTAATGGTTCTTGAATTTTGAGCTGGAATAAAATAGCTTCAGCGTTAATTTTAATTTCTTTAAATTTCCGGGATGTATCCTTGAAAAAAGTTATTTTGCTTAAAAGAAACTCGAAATTCTGGTAAGGGGTACATTTCATCATATGTACACTGTACAGATATAGAGGGTATAGAGGTGTAATAAAACCAGTTCTTTGTAGGCATTTTAGTGGTTTAAAATGGGAATAAGTATGGTTTATGCTGTATTATTATATGGTTTTTGGCCATCCTTAAATAAAAAGCTGACTTATTTTAGCTAACCTTGAAGGCAAAGTATTTGCCGGAGGAGTTAAGGTCGTAAATCAGTGATCTCTTCCTTTCATCTGAAACTTCGTCTGACTCTGTGGATTCGTTTGAGACTCCGAACTTCTAAACAGTATTATAATTAATAAGGAATAATATTCGAGGATTGGTAACTGTGATTTGGTAATGGTGGGAACATCGCCTTAAAAATTTGCACCGTTTATTGCGAATAAATATACTTAATAATCACCTGATCACACGAATAATCACATGATCACACTAACCTGTCGGTACTCGTTCAGCACTAAGTTAGCCACGTCTCCGATCTGTTTGTGATATTCTGAGACAGCTTCGTCCGCTCCACAGTGGTGTTTAGTTAGTGAAGACCGTTTTGGAATGTATTCTGCTACCTGAAAACCACGTCATGTCCAATTGCTAGAAACAATTTAAACGAAATTGATTTTTAGACAGGTTTTTCTGTGAAGTTTTGACTACTCTATTCTTCAAATGTCGGATTGATCGCAGTATATTCACCTTAGCAGCGAGTTGCTCGGGCGGTCTCTTCGAAACAAGTGGCTTCTCCAGAACGATCTCCACAACTACATAACTTCTGGCTTCTGTGTAGATCTGAGCTTCCTGGTTCTTAGGCTCTTCTGCTCCCTCGACTGGTTCCTTGGCTGCTTTCTTGCTGTCCTGTGGAGGCTAGGTACTAAGCTTAGAGACATTGTTTGTGATATACCTTCAAGTTAGATAGGTAATTGGATACTTTAATAACAACGTGAAAATATGTGAACATTTACAAATTGCTGACTTATTGGCAATTTCAGTGTTTAAGAAGATAAAAATGATGATGTGACAACAAGTTAAGTGAGACTGATTCAACTGAAATGAATTATTGGTGATGCTAACATTTGATTGGGTGCTGGTAGAAGAAGCTGATGGAATGCGTGTGAGTGGTGCTTTGAACGTTATCTGTAAAATTAGTGTGATGGATAACGCAGGTAATATTAAACAGGAATCACCGTGATGCAATTTGGGTTATCGTGGGGTTGGGCTCTCTTCCATCCCGCTCTTTCTGTACTTATGACTTTTAAATACGATAAACTGTTACAATTCATCTTCTGCCGCGAAATTATGTTGCTTAACCGCGAGGTATGGTAGCAAAAACAAATATTTCTTTGCTTTAATGCCAAGGAATTTATTTCCATTTGTCCAAATTCAGAAAGCAACCACTCAGTGGTTGAAAGACTGCCCACGATAACCCAAACACGTGACACCGCGTGACACCACGTGACACCACAGTGTGTTCACCTTAGCCCCCTTTTTAGCGCTGCTAACCCCCCGTCGGCTGCCCCCGCTACTGACTCGCTGCTGTCCACTATCTTCACCTGATACTGTCCCCGATCTGGTCGTCTTCTTAGTCTGCCAAAACGCCTTGATGTTATAGCATGAGAAACGGAGAAAAACCAAGTTGGGGATCAGATACGAAAATAGGCTCTATTAGTAGTAGTAGTTAGGCTCTATTGATTGGTTCTATTGATTGGCTCTATTGATTGGTTAATCACAGGTATGTGCCGAAACACTCTTTATTAACCTCCTGGTAATCTAGCATATTATTGATGTAATCAATGTCATTAAGGCAACATACAAAAGTTAGTTAGATGAACATTGTTCATATAATACGCATGTTGGAAGACAGCATTAATCTCGATTATCCAGCGATCAATAACAGATAAACATTGAACTACCACCCAATTTCCACCCAATTACCACCTCATTAACATACCCTCTCAAGTACTTCACTTTCAATGTACGGATGTATGAGAGCAGCTCCCTTGATACGGGTAACCCCCGGGTAGAGAAGTGGTGCCAGGTTAACCCAGGCTATTCCATGACACGAGGTGGCGGTGTCGTCGTCCTTCCCTTTCTTTGCTCCAGAGGACAAACTCGATCTGAAGATCTGAAAAGTTCGTATGTGAGGTGGCCGCTTAAAGACATTGTGTTTAGTTGATATTATAATGTTTATATTTTACTGAGTTAGGATAAAATGATATTGAATTGAATAGACAAATTGTGTGTACTAGAGTGATGTGCGTATTATTTTGCATTTGAGAACGGTAATTTAATTGATTATATCATTTCTTTTGTTTGGAAAATGTGACACGGTCCACTCTACCCACTTTTTTTACAATCCTCATATTTTGGTCTACTTTTTGTGTGTTACACTATGATCAATTTCTGTCTTAATTCTATGGCTGGAATGTTGGTATAATTTCCACTTGAGTAGCTGCGTCTTTCCTGGGATCGGATTTCTGAGTTCTGACGCTGCAAATATGGAAAGTTTCACAGAATTCATAATAATTGGAACAATTGCACGGAGTACAGCCCCCTACGAAGAAAAATTCCTACTCAAGGCATATATTTGAGTGTTTTCATCATGGCTCAAGTTTTAAAAAAATTGTGGTCACCTTGGCCATGACCACAGGCCCACAGCCCCCTACGAAGAAAAATACTTATACTCAAGGCACATATTTCAGTGTTTTCATCATGGCTCAAGTTACAAAATATTTTGAGGATATTAATAAATGGAGTTACATCTGATAAGGTCTACACTACACAATATAAGGCCAGTTGGTAGATCACCGACCGGCTATAAGCCGGCTACTAACCGGCTATAAGCCGGCTTATAGCCGGCTTATAGCCGGCTACAATTTTTATAGCCGGCTATAAGCCGGCTTATAGCCGGTTAGTAGCCGCTTACATTTGTTGTTGAGCGACGGCTATTAGCCGGTTATAAGCCGGCTATTAGCCGTTTTGGTATTAAAAGTGGTTATAAGCCGGCTATAAGCCGGTTATAAGATATTAACTCAACTACATCGTACTGAACGATAGTCAGGAGCCGGCTATAAGAAATTCAGTGAAAACGGCTATTAGCCGGTTATAAGCCGGCTATTAGCCGTTTAGGTATCGAAAGTGGTTATAAGCCGGCTATAAGCCGGTTATAAGATATTAACTCAGTTCAGTACGATGAAGTTAAGTTAATATCTTATAGCCGGCTTATAGCCGGCTTATAACCACTTTCGATACCTAAACGGCTAATAGCCGGCTTATAACCGGCTAATAGCCGTTTTCACTGAATTTCTTATAGCCGGCTCCTGACTATCGTTCAGTACGATGAAGTTGAGTTAATATCTTATAACCGGCTTATAGCCGGCTTATAGCCGGCTTATAACCACTTTCGATACCTAAACGGCTAATAGCCGGCTTATAACCGGCTAATAGCCGTTTTCACTGAATTTCTTATAGCCGATACCTAAACGGCTAATATAATAGCCGGCTTATAACCGGCTAATAGCCGTCGCTCAACAACAAATGTAAGCGGCTACTAACCGGCTATAAGCCGGCTTATAGCCGGCTATAAAAATTGTAGCCGGCTATAAGCCGGTTTATAGCCGGCTTATAACCGGCTTATAGCCGGTCGGTGATCTACCAATTTCCCCAATATAATATGCAACTTTTTTTACCTTGTTGAAGCGATTTAAGCTGTTTAAAAACACTTAGCCCATGTAATTACAATTAAGTCCATACTTCATCTAACGGGAATAACCCTTCTCTAAACGTCTAAGTGAGAGGTGATTCAGATGCTCAAGAGCGGCTTCTGTACTGTCTGCACTATTTCCTACACTTCATTAGAAGAAATAATCTGACCTCGACAGATATGTCGTCAGGGCGGCCATGATACCGATTCTGAATATGTTGATAACATTTAAGACGTGCCAACATAAAACGAAAAAAACTTAAACTGTCGAACAAAATCGAACATTTTCGAACTATGTTTTCGAATTTTTAAGACAAATTCTGGGGAAAGGAATAACCCGCGATAAATTGGTAGTTGCGGAAAATCGGGGGTTAACTTGGAGTCAGGCAAGTGCAGATATGTCGTCAGGGCGGCCATGATACCGATTCTGAATATGTTGATAACATTTAAGACGTGCCAACATAAAACGAAAAAAAAACTTTAACTGTCGAACAAAATCGAACATTTTCGAAATATGTTTTCGAATTTTTAAGACAAATTCTGGGGGAAAGGAATAACCCGCGATAAATTGGTAGTTGCGGAAAATCGGGGGTTAACTTGGAGTCAGGGTAAGTGCACCTTAATGTATTCAAGACGTTATTAATTGATATGAACCTCCGGATTACCATAAATTCAACATACTGGTTTAGGATAAAACTAATTGTAAAGATGCTCAGCTCTAAATATCACTGATCACAGTATTCTTAGAATCTTCGTTATATCACATACTTCCATGGGCCAGGCTCTACATTTGGCAATTCTCTCCTGCAATGTTTCTGTAGCAGAGGGAAGAAGGAATACGTTTCTCTCCGAGTTCCAAGTAACTCGAGCTTTGTCAGCTTCTGATTCCTTTCGGAAACTGTGGTGCTGAAAAGATATTCCACAATTAACATTTTTCTTTTGCTGAATAAGTTTATCAAGCGGCGAGCTTGCAAAAAATTGATTGACGGAAGGAATCGTCCAGTTCAGTTTAGAGTCTTTATTAAAGAAATCGGGAAAATATCGAGCAGTTTTCAGTTGTCGCTTATAATGACTTTTACTAACAAGGACTTGTACTCCATACTACATAAGGGCCAGCTAAACTTGATAGCTGGTTACTAAGCAGCAAGACATAAAGCGTCACTGCGCGTGAAAAATAGGCGCGTGCGCGTTTACACTAGCTGTTGAAACAAAACTTTATTTATTTTTGTTTTAAGCGCGCGTTTCAAATTTTCCATATGAATCTCACAATTGCCACTGCGTCATCCAAGGTGCATGAAAACCAAATTATAATGTAAGAGTTGGGATCAAAGCATTAATCTGTTCGAACGATGAATAGATGTTTACCTCTTTGACCCGCAAATCCCCATCCTCCTCCTCGTAAACATAACCCTCCACACTTGAGCTAGGAATGTGAACCACTGCTCCTGTCAGACCATTACTGGACGCAAAACGTCGCGGTATTACCTTTTGTGGGCTCGAGATATCCTGTAAGAAATTATCAAACTGACAATGTTGCAACATTACTTATTATTTTATCAGGACACACATTTCAAACCACTCAATGATCAGATCACGTTCCTATATTATTATTACACTGTGCTCAACAACATTTGTGTAGATAATTTACCATATTTTTCTCGGGAGCAGGCCTTATAGACCCAGCTCCGGCATTTACGCTAACATCAACTGTGTCACTTAGAGGCACTGTCATTACTGCGTTGAAATTGTGTGTCTGGGGATAAGAAGGTTAATATTAAAATCTATAAAGTAAATTAAAGTTATAACTCCACTTTTGACCTATTTGGCGGCCATTTATTAATTCCATAATTGCACCGGTTTTTGTTCCAGGGTGTGCGATTACAAAACTAATTGCACTGTTTTGAGAGTGACCGAAATCTTATTAGGTACGATTACTAAACTAATTGCACTGATTCCCTGAAAGATGCTGTAAATCATGGCTCAGGCAGATAATTAGAGTTAGAGAGAGCACCTCGTAAAATGAGGACCTAATTAAAACCGAGTATTTTACTACTGTGAGGTGCTGATTCAAGTATTGACTTAAATCAACTACCTGAGGTAGTTTGGCGACCGTTAGTGCAATGGTCGCACGAAATAAAATGATGGGCATAAATTTAAATTTATAGTTTAGGAGAACATCTTTCCTTGTGTTTGGAATATGTCAATCCTTACATTGCATTAACACAACACAGTATGAGGCTGAGATCTCACTAATTATTTGTAAAACAAAAAGTGGCATAACTTATGTTCTGATAAATATTTTTGCTTCTAAATTTCACAGAATGTTAATAACAAGTATCTAAACCTTTGTGGCAAGTTTTGTGTGATTGCGAGCTTCACTGAGTTTATTTGACCAATTTAGCCCCTGAGCGAGCTAGCTTGAATTTCTCACCCAGAACTGTTTACATTGGTTAATAGAAACCACCAAAAAAAATCCTGGGTCACAAAATTAAAAAACCAGCGATTTATTCACGTTTTACCAATTCTATTCACATGGATCCATCGCACATTCCATTCTCTCTATATTTTAACTGATAAGGACTATCACAGATGATCCTTCCTGCTTGTTTATATCGTTCTTCTTACATGGAATGTGCGATGTATCATGGTGAATAGAATTGGTAAAACATAAATAAATCGGTGGTTTTTTAATTTTTTTACCCAGGATTTTTTTGGTGGTTTCTATTAACCAATGTAAACAGTTCTGGGTGAGAAATTAAAGCTAGCACACTCAGGAGCTAACTTTGTCAGACAAGCTCAGACTCACACAAAACTTAGCACGAAGTTGTGTCTAATTATGATTGACATTCTCTAAAAATTTGAATCAAAAATATTAATCAGAACGTAAGTTATGGCGCTTTTCCATTCTGAAATAAAATAATTAGTGAGATCTCAGCGAGCTGTTACAATTTTAAGAGATAAGGATGGGTAGACTTTTGAGGCCCACCCTGTATAACAACAAAGTCGGTGCGATTATAAACTAATTACACTGGTTATAACATCAGAGGCGTGGAGTTATACGTGAATCTAACTGCATGTATAATACGATTACACCAGTTATTGCACTCGGCTGCGCCTCGTGAAATAACTGCAATAATCGAACTCGGCTTCGCCTCGTGCGATTATTGTATCAATTTCCACTCGGCTGCGCCTCGTGCAATTAATAGTGTAATCGCATTATACGCAGTTAGATTAGCGTATATAATAATAATTAAAAGTTATAATAATAGTGACGGAGATTACCCAAAGGACGGATTAAGAAAGCAGTATTTAATCACTTGGCAAATTATATAAATGCACGAAATCTCACAAATTAGTGATAAGTTGAGAACTTACAGCGTTATTGGACGGCTGCCAAGTTTCCGGTAGTGAGTAAACACTGTCCACACGGATGGTCATGTGGTTACTAACCCCGTACACTTCAGCTGAGACTAACGGGTTCGTTACTGTTACTTCAACCTGTAACTCCGGCTGGACAAAATATTAGTGAGTACAGAGCAGTGCTCGCATTCCACGAAGGCACGATATAAATACCGAAATATATTAAAATGCAAAAGCTTGTTATCGTACATGCAATATGATGAGCTATATTGTCTTACAAAAAAACAATATTATGCATGATTGATTGGGGGACTGGTCCGTAGTACCAGCCAATGTTTACTCAAAAGTAATATATATAATTGAAATAAGTTAAATATTCATCCCCGAGGGGCACGCAGATTATAATTGTGATGTTATCTATTAAAACTATTCAATTAAAATTTTATTGGTCGAGTCGACTGGCCCTGATCTGCAAACATATTTGATATTAGTAACTTTATGATGCTGCCTCACCGCAATTAGGTGTGTTATCAGTGTAGATATAATGCGCTATGTGGCAGTGAAATAAGGAATGTGCTGTTAGAATGGCAGGTGGTTTGAAATGTTGTCCTGATTCAGATTGTTTAATTTGAGCTGTATGAGTTTGGTTTTGAGTGATTATTGACTATGTTTTTTGTGATTTACGTAATCCAGGTAGGTTGTGGAGTAAAAATGGTGGCCATTCGTCGTTGCAGCTAGCACTTTGCAAGTCTAGTAGTACTTTTTTTGACGAATTCTTATATATGTTGATAGAAAATATACTGGATGGGCATATATGCGAGTGTTATGCTCTGAAATAGCGAGCATTGGGCCTTTATAAAAGATGCTAGATCTCAGGTCAGTCTGTGAGTAAATTGATAACCAGTCTAAGTTTTGTTCGTGTGTCGTTCCTTGTTTGGGTGTGTTAGGAGGGAAAAGTTCTGAAATCGATTTAGGTAACAAACTAGACATATTTCGAACTTTGTGCAGTATGTATGCATGTATTTCTCATAACTATACACAAAACTGATATTAAAGTATTAACACCAAAATGGAAGTTCGCAGATTGGACTGGCACATAAAATTTAGTAAAAGTTTTAAAATTCTAAAATGTTAGTGTAACCCTGGCTAGGGTTGGCCCTACATTTTACAACTAAAAGTTACAGGAAAAAGTATAATTTACATGAAAAATACAGGGTGGGCCAAAAGTCAGTACCCATACGTTGGCCTTAATAGCTCCGCCGTGTTTTATATTTGAGAGCTGTTGCTTTGCAGATGGCATACTGTACTTACTTGTTCGAGGATTCCGTCGTCAAAATTTGAAAATTCGAATATTTTAGACCACGCCCATTCAATATTAAAACACCTATATTGTTTTCTCTGAACATGCTGAACGCCTTAATTTTTAGAGACGGTAGATTATCAAATGTTGCATATGATCTGAAAACATGAGGCAAAACGGATTAGAAATGACGAAGTTATCAAGCATTTTCTGTATCTCGTTAACAATATTGACTGGGTGATTATGTGACACCGTGACACGACACCTTATTTGGGCACCCTTAACAATTCCCATAATGTTTAACGGGGTAGTTAACGGGGGCACCTTATCACGTGATTAGGTAATCCAATCACCTGATCACACGTAATGAATAAACTCGTTATGCTTCATATCTCGGTCATCTGAGAAGCTACAGTTCTAATTCTTTCAGGACAAACGTAATTCGAATGGCCAAACACAATTCAATAACATTTAGCTTGATCCGACTATCCAAACTATCAAATAAATGTGAAAATGAACCTCCATTTGAAAAAAATGAACGCGAATATTTTTCGAGTTGACAAATTCCTCGAACCAGTGGTGGTACTAAGTCATACCAGAAAGAAGTATTTAAATTGGGCACTCAGTGACTGAGCTATAAAGGCCAACGTATGGGTACTGACTTTTGGCCCACCCTGGATACAAGGATACAAGGATACAAAAGTGATAATTACTTTATTGAGTACACAATAGTTGTAATTCTGAAATAATTTAAGTTACACAATTCTAATTATTAACAAGTGTGTAGGGATAATTTAGAAATGTTATATAATGCTAGTTTTAGAAAAATAGATAAATCGAGTTTGTATGGTTCAATCTTATTTTAAGGTCCTATAGCATTATTTTAAGGTCCTATAGCACCCTGTATATATATTATCTCGGCATATGAAAGTTAAAATACATATTACATGTAATACCTGAAGGATATTCTGACCAGTGTTCGCAGCAACATTTTCAGCTGTTGTCCCACTATGGATTACAACAGCCTGAGTGAACCCATTCTCACCTGAAATACAGAGATACCTTACTGGTGGGGACCATATTTATTCTGATTCTCAGTCTTGATTGGTCAATGATGGAGGTTGATTGGTTCCTCTCCCACAATTTTTCACATATTTTATTCGCAAAAAGTAAAATCATCCCGGCAAAAATGGTTAACTAAACTATGTACCTCGAGACACACACAAACGGCAAAAACATCTATAATAATAAATTATTATAGACGTGGATTCTCGTGGGGAGGTGAGTTACATTTGTTTATTCAACATGGAGGTTCTGCTCAGCAGGAGACAGAGGTGAAGCACATTTTGTATTATGGAACGCTTGTAACGCTTGTAACGCTTGTAACTCCTTCCAGTATAAGATGACGATTGCCTCGATCTTTCGGTTTCAGCTTAACTCCCTAGGCCCTAGGTCATGAGTAGAACCGAAGGATCAGAATATATGTTGCATGTTGCTCGTATTAACTATAAAATATCAATTTTGAGGGATAAGGAAGTGTTTATAGGTTCTGAAACCTATTTAAATCGGTTCTGAAACCTATTTAATTCGATTTCTCGTGCAATTTTAGATGAAGAACAGTTATCAAAATGAGTTAATAAATAGGTCGATTTCGGTAATTTTTGAGCTTTCGTTTAGAAAATAATTCGGGACCTTCAAAGGGGGGTAACAAGAAGGAGTTACAAGCGTTCCATAATACAAAATGTGCATCACCTCTTTCTCCTGCTGAGCAGAACCTCCACCTTAAAAGTAAACAAATGTACCTCCCCACGAATCCGCATCTATTATATGGTAGATAACTGAGTTATCTGACTATTTATCTGACATTAAACTAATCAACAGTGCATTTAAATTAACCTTTGAGAAGAGATGAGAGATCTAGAACACCTTGACCAATTGGAGCAGTCTTCTCTTCCCTTGCCTTTTTCTCCTTCGGCAACACTTCAATCACGTGAAACAGGACTAGCCTAGCAGATGAGAATAAAGAATAGTAAAGGTTGCTTAATATCATGGTTAAATATTTACTTTTACAGCCAGCAGATTAATAGGTTGTCAAGCTGGGGAAAAACTGATACAAATTGGAAATCATACCTGTGACATATTTCATCTATAGCTGACGGATCATCTAAATTAACTTCAATACTGGCATTAAAATTGAACTTTGTAATTCCATCAGGTCCGATTTCAGCCTTGTTCGTTTCTCCAAGGGTCTTGCCAAACTCTACTCTAGCGTACGCAGTTACTGCATCTCCTTTGACACCTCGCTGTAATGCCAAACGATTAATGTAACATTTGAACTGAACATGAAATATTCAGGTCATTTAAATTTGAGGCAAAATCAAAAGTAATTGGATATATTCATTAGTCATATATATGATATTATATATACATGCCTAATATGTCTCTTTTTTTTTTATTTTGCCATAAATTTTATAATATGTATATTGTATATATATCGGCTCAATCACTGGAACCATTTAAAGCTCTTCTAAAAACTTTTCTGTTTAAATTGCCCCTTCATGAACTTGAAAAACTTTATCGATAATTTATTTTGGTCAATATTGGTGTTCGATTTTTACATATAAGTATCATTTTCTGTCATTAGACTTAATGATATATTTTCAAGCATACGTTACCAGTCCTTATCTTATTCAAGTACTTTTCTGGGATGTTTAGATTAAACTGCTGAGTACAAGTTTTATCTTAAAAGTGGTGTTATTAAATTTCAATTTATATATATATATATAACTAGACCTGCTTAAGCCAGGGGAATGGCCCGGTACCCATTAATAAAAGGTGAGTTATATTTTGTTGGTATTAATTATGTAGAAAATTAGGAACCTGATCAAATGTTAAAAGATAAAATGACCTTATTCCTATTATACTCACTAGATTCTTAGCCTGAATAATTTTTATCTGTATAGTTGATGTACGTTTTTCTTCACCGGCTGGTGCCCCTCCTTTGTCAGCCATCCTAACAAGCGAATGGATTATTCATTTGGTACCAACTATGTACCATGATGCATATAATAACGAATCATATTTTTTGACACGTGACTGAAAGTTTTGGTTGGATGAAGCTGATCGGTGAATCGGAAAAATATGCCTCACCTCCTGTTCCCCATCACATAAGCATCTAGATTCATAAAAATGGATGTTCTGATCGAAATGACAACGTCTTTCTTCATTAAATAAATCAAGAATAACAACAATAATAGTACTCCACTGTGAACTAAATGGGCATAGTAAAGCTTTTTGGAGAATTCTCGTGAGAGTCTGCTTACAACACACCGCCATCCAAAGATTACACCTCGAGAGGAGGAATATGCCAAAACGGTATACACTATACAGGCAACTAAAAGAGACTAGGATACAAGGTTACAAAAGTGATATAATTACTTTATTGAGTACACAATAGTTGTAATTCTGAAATAATTTAAGTTTAAAAACAATTCCAATTATTTACAGATGTGTTGGAATAATTTAGAAATATTATATTATGCGAGTTCAATTTTATTTTGAGGTCCTATAGCATTATGCACTGGCCAGTATTTGAGTAGAAATCTGGGCTCTTATAGTAGGCTGTATATTGTTCGTTCACAGAGAGAATTGAATGGATTGCTCTTGCTGTGGCAGTAAATTTGGTAGGATCGAAAGTTTTATTGGGGAGCAAACCGGTCAGTGATATTTTTGGAATGGAAGTTAAATTTTTCCCTAACTGAGTAACCAGTCAGTTAAAACATGATTTTCGTCCTCAATAGGCGTAAGCCCCTTGCTGGAAAAGCATCTTAAGTGCACTATCGACCTTCTCTTGGTACTAGGGGCGTTTAGTATCGACCCCTCTCAATCAGGGACAAAAGGATTTCGCGGCATGTACGAAATCGCGAAATTTCCCATTCTTCGCGACAAATTTTATGTATAGTTTAATGTATATCCTGTTAAATACTTTCAGCGCTGCTATATAACAAATAATTTGAGGGAAAGTATGTCGTAATTCCCTCAAAGGGGTGTCGTAAGTTTACACGTTGCCTTAACAGCTGATTGTTTTGACTTTTGCTGGCTGTTTGTTTTAACGTTTGCTGAGTATGGGTGACAACAACAAGAGTAACAAGAGAGCCTCATCTAATAACAACATGTCACGAATTCTTTCCCCTGCGGACAAAAAGGCAAAGTCCCGGTCCAAGAACAACACTCCAGGACTAGAGGTGAAAGGAAAAGATGGATCTTGTGAGGCTATTGTTGTAGACAGTGATGTAACACTCCCAAAGATTGACAGTTCACACAGGGACAAGACAAAATGTCCATGCAATAAGTCAATATCGTCATGGAAGATTGACTGTGTAAAGTGCAAGCAATATTGGCACATAGACTGTCTAACTATGAACGGACTCAATCAGAAAAACGTCAACAGCATGACCAATTGGCACTGCCCCTTTTGTTTGGTTTTACCAATTCCCACACTCGAAACTGCTGCAGATGTGTGTTATGTGTGTAGGAACACTCTGACACTTCAAAAATCTAACAGTCAGTGTGAGACAGCTATTGCCACAGAGAAGCTTAATACCATCACAGCTTTTGGTGAAAAGCTTGGCAAAGTTGACTTTGACAGTCTAAACGACAGCATTGCCGCCATCCAGAACCTTGACCTCCATATCAAGCACCTACTGGTTAGTGACAAGAACACTGCTCCAGCATGGGTTGAAATTATGGAAGGAGATCTGAAGCAGCTGAAAACTTCAGTTGACTGCGGACTCGGAAAGGTTTCTGAGACTGATAGTGGCCTAACAGAACAGATTAGAGTGTTGAACAAGCAACTGCAGGACTTTTCTATTCCTCAAGTAAGTGCTCAATCTTCATCCAAGACCAAAGATCTCATGGAAAAAATAGAGAAGAATCTCCATGAGCTAAATTCCAAGCAGTCTCTGGAGACGAATCAGGAGCTAACAGCCATCAGACAGTCTTTGAACACTCTTGAGCAAAATTCTTTGGCTTCTTCTGACCATTTAAATGCCCAACTTACCAATTCTTCACTTGCCCCTGGCCCAGACCTAACAGCTAATGAGCATCTCAAATCAAGAGAAGAACCAGTTGTAGGCGCTATAGAAGAGTTTATCACCACAGAAGAGCAGGATCTTCTCCTCCTTGCCTGTCAATCACTTGACGAGGATTTTGTTGTGGAAGGAGCTCGTGCTGTGTATTCTCTGGGAGAACCATACAAGTATAATGGCTCCAAGTCACCCAATGGTCAGCTAGAGTCAACCAGCTTCTCCAAACTGATGGACAAAATCAATGGGGCATTCTGTAGTGGTGAGAAACCGAAGATCAATAGTCTGCTGATCAACCGCTTCAAAGAGGATGGCTCCCTACCAAAACATTCGGATGATGAAGCCACCATCCACCCCGAATCCGAAATTTTCACTGTGTCCATCGGAGGCCAGTGCAACATCAAATTCTTTGACAAGAAGACGGATGATATAGCCCTTGACCACCCATGTGTTCCAAGATCCATGTATCGCATGACACGAAGTAGCCAAGAGTATTACAGCCACTGTATCATGGATGGGGCAATAACTGGTGGGGTCAGATACAGCCTAACTTTTCGTTCAGTTAGCTTCAGGAACAAGAACTCTACGTGCATCATAGGAGACAGTCATACAGGGGGGCTTAAGTTTGGGTCAGATGCCAGGAAATCGTTTGGACAATGGTTCCCTGGGAGGCAATATTTTGCACCAGTGGTTGACCAGATTGACCCATATGTCACATGTGGTTATCGTAACGTTGTTTTGATGTGTGCGATTAATGATCTTAAAAAACCCGAGATCAAGAATACAGCTGATATTAAACGAAATGTATTTATTCCCTTTATTAAAAAGATTGAGAAAATTCATGCTATTAACCCTAAGGCACATGTATATGTTTGTCCAGCCCTGCCTACAAAGCTTGCTGAACTGAATAGAAAAGTTGTTTGCTTTAACCGCCTTATTTTGACAGAGCTGATCCCTTCAAATTTTGGTGTGACTTACGTCGATGGGTTCGGTGGGTTCTGTGATGATGCTGGGCTTCTTAGCCAACAGTTCTCCAGAAACATCGGCCGAGACCAGCGACCAGATTATCTCCACCTTAACTGGAGGGGTACAGCTAAACTAGGCACTTTGATTCGTAACACAGTGCTTCTTAGAATGAATGGAGGAGTTGATAGAAGGAAAAGGAGAACAGACGAGGTTGATGGACGCTCATATCGGAACGTGTTGAGTGGGACGGGTTCTACTACTGCTGCTGAGTCTCGACACCAGGATGGTTACCAGCCATTCTTACTCCCCTGAGTAAAGAGGTATGCCTAGTCTGTGCGAAGTTCATTAACGTAGGACAATTCATTGTTGAATGCTGTGAATGCGACTGTCCAATGCACCATAAGTGCTATACCAAATCCATTAACAATGACACATTATCTGACGATTTTTACTGTCCCAAGTGCGTACATTTAGCAGTTATTCGTTACAATCCATTTCGACTTGCATGCACTAATTTAAGTGATATTGAAAGTAGTGAAGTGGATGACACTATCATAAAAGTAGATCAAATACTAAATAACTGCGTATCGTACAATGTCAAGGAATTCAACAAAGCACTAGATAATCAAATGAATGAATTTTCATCGCTTCTCTTCCAAAACATCGACGGCAATAAGTCAAATTTCGACACTTTCGCTATTGAATCCCATAGGCTCACCAAGAAATTCTCGATCATAGCCTTAGTGGAAACAAATGAAGGTCCTGAATCCAGCAGTTTGTATCAATTAACTGGATACAACAGTTTCTACCAAAACACAATACCAGATAAAAAAAAGGGCACTGGAGTAGCTCTCTATGTTTGTGACACTCTTAGTGCCAGAGTAAACGGCAATGTATCCCATATCACTGAACATTTAGAAACTCTTTTTGTGGCCGTAAGTAGTACAACTTCCCCAGTAACAGTTGGTGTAATGTACCGTCCTCCAAGTGGTAATGTCAATGTTGCACTATCTGAACTCTCTGACATCCTTGACAGTCTCCCCAAGTGTAGTTACCTAGCGGGTGATTTTAACATTGATTTACACGATAAGAATAGCACAATCGTACAACGCTATGAAGAAATACTATTAAGTAAAGGATTTTTCCCCCTAATTTCGTTAGCAACACATGAGAAAACAGGCTGCAAAGCATCCTGTATTGATAACATAATAACTAACGACGTAGAGAGTATAGTAGCTTCTGGAATACTGACTGACCGTATATCACACCAATCACCCATCTTCCAAATCTTTGATAGAAACTTGGACTCTAGCAGAATTGACCTGAAATACAAACAGTATTATGATTACAACAAACCGAATGTAAAAGCTTTTTTACAGACTCTGGAACATGATCTCAATAATAATGTTATCGACAATTTTACAACATTTCACGACATATTTAAGGACTGTATAGATAGAACTTGTAAGTTAGAAACCCCTAAATGCTCTAAAAGAACAGCACTGAACAACCCATGGATTACACCAGACCTTGTGGTCAAAATTTCATATCAGCACGAACTTTACGATAAATGGGTAAAGGTCAGAAAAGTTAAATGTAAATTTGGGGAAATTGAAAATAAAGGGGGGACATGCCAATGCCCAATATGTTGCTCAAAACGTGACAAGTATAAAAATACAGTGACTGCAGGCGGAAGGTCAAAAAAGATCGCCGCAATGCTCAATCTAAGTTCTATGGTGGAAAATTTGCAGAGTTGCACGGAAACAGTAAAAAGACGTGGGAATTAATTAACCAAATACGGGGTAAACGAAAACGACAAACCATACCTCTATTTACTATCAATAATGAAAAAATTACTAATCGTAGGGTAATAGCTAATGAGTTTAATAAGTACTTTGTCTCCCTAGCTTCTAATCTTAACGAGGCATACAATGAAATCGGCGAACTAGTAATTAATGGCATCCCCAGTATCTATGACTACCTACCAAAATCCAACACGACCAGTATTTACATGCATGATTGTACAATCGATGAAGTATGTAAAATAATATCAGAATTGAAAAATGGCAAATCGTCTGATATCCCAATACATGTTGTAAAAGCGTCATCCAGAATTATCGCCCCCCCCCCCTATTATCTGTACTATACAATGAATGTTTGAAGGAGGGAATATTCCCGGACGATTTAAAGATTGGCAGGATCAGTCCCATATACAAGAAAGAAAATGAAGAATTACTTGAAAACTATAGACCAGTCTCTACCTTAGCCGTATTTGGTAAGTTATTCGAGAAAATTATATATAGTAGGCTATACAGCTTTTTCCAGTCACAAAATATGATCTATGAAAATCAGTGTGGATTCCGTAAAAATCACTCTACAAGTCATGCCCTGAATTTCTCAGTGAATTATATAGAATCATGCCTTAATAAAAAGCAGCACGTGCTCGGAATATTCATTGATCTAAGCAAAGCATTCGATACCATCTCAGCTGACAAATTACTGAGTAAGCTAGATAATTACCGAATTCGAGGCAATGCCAACAAACTCATTGCTAGTTATCTCTCTAATAGATATCAATACGTCTCGGTCCTAGGAGAAGAGTCTGACAAGCTTCCAGTTCTCTTTGGAGTACCCCAGGGATCTTGTCTTGGTCCGTTACTATTTATTATTTATATCAACGACCTATATAGGGCAACTGAACTAGGCAAGTTCATTCTATTTGCTGACGATACAAATATATTTGTTGCGGATGAATGTAAGATAAAGTTATATGAACGAGCAAACCAAAGTCTCAAACTGGTACAACTGTATATGAAATGTAATCTCCTGCATATTAACATTAAGAAATGCTGTTACATTCACTTTAAACCAACGAATAGAAAAAGCAAGGTAGAACATAATGAAGAAGAACACGTACTTACTCTAAACAATGTAGTAATAAAGCAAGTCAAAAAGGTGAAATTTCTTGGTGT